GGTTCAGTTTGGTCGTGGAAATATTCTTTGAGGCGCAGGCGTCGGAAGAATTCTTCTAGTTCTCCACACTGAAGTATTTTATTAGGGTGTTTTTCTGGACAGAAATTTAGGCCTTTAGAATTTAGGAATGTAGTATACCTCATCCAATGCACCAAATGCCCTGATGGAAGATATGTAGGAGAGACCAGACAACAACTGCGCACCAGAATGAATGCACACCGGAAATCCATCAAAGACAGAAACACCCAATTACCGGTGGGGGCACATTTCTCACAGGAGGGCCACTCTCTCTCCAATCTCTCAGTCCTGATCCTCAAGGGAAATTTACACAACACATCCCAGAGACGAGCCTATGAGCTCCATTTCATCAACCTGCTGGATACTAGAGATCAGGGACTAAACATAGACATTGGATTTTTGATACATTATAATCTGCCTGGCAACTGACTCCCCAGCCCAGCCCAGCCCCTGGCTTCTTTACTTTTCATTCCATCCAGGAAGAGCACACACCAACTGCTGCAGCTTCCTGAGCCTGACGAAGGGTTTTTGAAGCCGAAAGCTTGCTTAATAACTATTCTCCAACCATTTGGGTTGGTCTAATAAAAGATATCAAATTCACCCAAGGAACCTTGTCTGCCTATATCCTTAGACCAACACGGCTACAACCTAAACCCCTCTCAGACAACATAATCTTTTAAATTAGGATTTCCTACACTTTGCAATCCAAGAAGCTGTGCTGGAGATTTACAGGAATTCAGGGGCTTCATTTCCGTATGTAAATGTACACAATCATAGCATTAGTTCTGGCTTAGGTCTTTCTTGATACATGAGCAGCATTGGGTAGCATTTTTAAAAAGGATCAAAATTTCCCCAACTGCTGAAATCAGTGACTATTGACTCAAGATGCCAGTGACATCAGTTGGATGGAGTTAGGTCAGTGCTGATGAGGGTTTATGAAAATCCCACCCTCTGTGTCTAGTTGTTGGCTTGCTGGAAGAAAAATGACACTTAACTTTAATAGGACATGAAGTAGAATCCCAGAGTCTGGGTGGTGCAGACAGCACAGGAGGTTTGCACGGGGGCTTTGGAGTGCCAAACTAATTTTACTTTGCTTTGATCCTCGAATTTTTCTTTGGCAGGTTCACCCCCTTTTTGTGTTAATGTTGCACCTGATTTTGATACCTATATTTGTGTCAAAGATCATCTTAACACCCAAGCTGTCCCATTGATTGTGAAAGGAATAGGACAACATGCAAAGTAAGGTACTGTCATATTTGAGTAAGATTACTACGACGTAACTCTGAATAGTCATTAAAATGTAGTAGTAGTCCTTACCATGGTGCTCTTTGTCTGTTATTACTTCTACACTCTTCTATGTGTTTTTGGGGCTATAGATTGTAGCCACGTTGGTCAAATGACATAGGCAGACAAGGTTCTTTAGGTAAATCCAATATCTTTTTTTTAGACCAACTTGAGTATCAAAAAATATTGGATTTACCCAAAGAACCTTGCCTGTCCATGTGTTTTGTACATTTATAACTTATGTATTATTTTTGATCTACAAGAGCAAATGGGTAACTGTGTAGAAGGCATCATGCTGTATGGTTCCTTCTTTGTGACTTAGCCAGGTCTCAAAACTGTCCTTATCTGTAAGGCTTCTAAACCTCATTTTGAAAGTTAAGCTGTTTGCCTATGTGGATGCTATATTTCCAGTATATCTCTCAGTAGAATTAACAGTAAACTTCAAAGGAGGTTTATAATTAAGTCATTAATACTTACATTGAGCAACTCTTATGTGTACTAGTCATATTATTCCTATTCCCACTGAGTCAGGTTGTCTCACCTATGCCTTTTTATGAACTTTATTATAGTAGAGGTTGGCTTATTTAATGGACAAATCACTTTATATGTGTTGATTTTCTTGTTACAGAAATGTTTGTACATCATCCAAGGATAATACCACATTATACTAGCCACAGGGTGCATCTACATGAGATGCTAAAAGCGCAGTAGACTAATTCTACGGTACATTAGCGTGTCATGGCAAAAGCCTAGCTAATGCGCAGTAGATTTAGTCAACTTTGCATTAACATCACCTAAAAGATGTGCACCAGTACTACTGTGCAGTAGTGCTGATTATGGTACATAATGCATGTGTAGACCTGCCCACTGTAGATAGTCCTTTTCTCAAAGAGGTTACCAATGTAAACAGGCAAGACAGGGTAGGCAAAATAATGCACTAGGGATTTTAATTCCTACCATCTTTTTACAAAATCCTGGGAGTTCTTTGCTCTTCCATGCATGTGAATCATGTGTGGAGGGCACAAATAGCCTTGTGTGGCATGCATACAGGTGAGAAACAAATGTCCAATGTTGGGGGCTGGAAAGGGGCATCCTCTTTCCAAGCTCCTGACCTGATAGACAGACCCATATCTACTTCTTGCCCTTGGGAAACAAATGGACATTAACTTGTGCTCAGCATTTTCTGAAAGTGCAAGAAGTTTAAAAAAATGGGGTCACCAGCTTAGGGTCATACTCATTGCCCAACTCTACAAAACAGCAGGTGAATAAATATTTAATAGTTACAGTTGTTTTCTTCAAGGGTTCATCATCTGAAGTGAAAAGATGTTGACCCCTGCTGACCTCATGCACATCTACACATATGTCAGCAGCATTACTCTGCTGTGGTTTGTGATACATAATATATATACGGAAGTGGATTCAGGATTTTGTAAAGGGGAATTTGGGACCAGTAACTGGTGCTGCACTCCCACTCCCACCTTTCTCTCCTCAGCAGGGCCAACAGACCATGCCATAGGAACAGCACATGGGAACATTTTTAAGTCCCTGAATCAGTAAGAATGCCCCTCCCTCAAATCATCTGCACTCTCCTCCTTTTCCCTGTGTGGTTGGTGACATGTCCCCTCCTATATCCCCGCCCCCTTCCAGCCAGTGCTACCACTGTTCTTGGCTGCCCCAGGACATGTGTTACTCAGAAAGTTAAAATAGGATTCTTTTTTCTCAGTTCCTATAAAAGTCTCCATTTCACTGTGTCTGGCTTCTAATGTGGGGGTGGTAGAAGGATTTAGCTCCTATAGAGAGGAGAATAGACTTTTATGTACAAGTATTTCATAACACTGTCAACAAGCTATGCTTCTAATTCATTTAAGCTGGTTAGGTGACTCATGGCAGTGGAAAGAACAAATAAGTAATGATGCACTGTGGTTAAACGCAAAAGAAAATGCAGACAGAAAATTATATCCTTGATAAATAGTTTCAAGCTAAAAGTCCCATGGAGGGTGGGGTCTGCCTATACCTACATGGGTTAGTTAGAGAATTTGCCCTACACAAAATTAATCACTGCTCATGTGTCACTGGTGTGCAGTATTGCAGAATGTAACATGTGGCAAGGCTAGTAGAAACTTTTCCATGTAAATTCCTTTTCAGTGGAAAATTGGGTTTCAGCTAAATGACTTTTTCCTGCAAAAAATACTGCTTTCAACAGAAAATGTTGGGGTTTAGTTAAAAAAAAATGCTTAAAAAACAAAGTATTTTAATCAATCCTCAAAATGTTTCAATTTAGCTCTGCTGCTTTTGCATTTAATAGGAACTGCATTTTAGTTTCGACTCATCTCCATTCTTCCGTATGGGCCAGGCTCCCCAACTGGATTACAACTCCCATGATGCACTTGGGCCAGGGATGACAAAATGCCCTGTCATTCCTAACCGGATGAGATGACAGTGCCCCATAGGAAGTGCGGTGTAATGAGAAGAGAATGGCAGATGAGGCATGCAAGCTTCACCTGCCACACTGTTTTGCACTTGAGTGTTAGGATCCAGCTGTGTAGATCTCCATGTACGATCAATGCCTAAGGGAGGGTGAACACCCCAATTGGTGCTATATCTGAGCAAACTGTAAATGACAGTTGGCCTGCTTCCCCAAACTCAGATGGACACACTATTACACAAAAGTCTTGTTCAGGGCATAGCTTTATTCTTCAGCGAAACTTAGGCAAAGCAACACAGTCCCTTTGCCCATTTTGGGCTACTAGTACTATTCCCAAACACTCCTCTTCATACCTTTTCCTGCAGAAGCTCTCTGCAGCAGCTTTCTCATATACCTGGCTTGGTTTTTCATGAGAAACATCTGGCCACCTCTCAGGTGGGCCTGTTAACTGAACAAGCCAAGCTGGCTCCAGGGCCCTTGGCCCCTAAAGGGACAAGTCACCTCGTTATGCAAGCATATCATGAGTTAATACACTGCACAGACACTAAGAATTAAAGTGTTGCTGACACAAGGCCCCTTGACACCTCATGCATGCTGCATTTTTTGTCTCTTCATCTCACAATTAATTTAAAATAATCATGTTGCATCAGTTTTTCACCAATCCCGAGGGGCGCCCCTGCCCATTACAGGACGGAAATGCCTGGGTGAGGGAGATTCCTTACTCTCCATCAATGTTGACCTTGTGAAGAAACACCTTGAGAGGCTGGACACCTTCAAGTCAGCTGGCCCTGACAGTTTGCAACCCAGGGTACTCAAGGAGCTGGCAAGCATCATAGCTCAGCCCCTGGCACGGATCTTTGAAAACTCCTGGTGCTCTGGTGAAGTGCAAAAAGACTGGAAGGTCAATGTGGTGCCTATCTTCAAGAAAGAGATGAAAGTAGATCTGGCAAACTACAGGCCCATCAGCCTGACCTCTATCCTGGGGAAGGTCTTAGAATAGATTATCAAGGAGACCATTCTTAACAGACTGGCCAATGGCAGCATCCTGAGGGATAGCCAGCATGGGTTTGTTGCAGGTAGGTCTTGCTTGACCAATCTTATTTCCTTTTATGACCAGGTGACCTGTGACCTGGACAAGGGGGAAGAGATTGACGTGTGACTTAAAAAAAGCCTTCCATCTGGTATCCCATGATCACCTCCTAGCAAGACTGGTCAACTGTGGCCTCAGCTTCACCACGATCCTCTGGCTGGGGAATTGGCTCTGTGGTTGGACCTAGAGGGTGGTGGTTGATGGAAGTCAATCGTCATGGTGCCCTGTGACCAGTGGGGTCCCTCAAAGCTCTGTCCTTGGGCCAACACTATTCAACATCTTCATTAAGGATGTGGACATTAGTATCAGAAGTGGACTGGCCAAGTTTGCTGATGACACCAAATTCTGGAGTAAAGCGTCCGCACCTGAGGACAGGAGGGCGATCCAGGCTGACCTTGCCAGGCTCAGGAAATGGGCAGACAAGAACCTAATGGTGTTTAGCAACAAAAAATGCAAGATTCTTCACCTTGGGAGGAAAAACCTGCAGCATGCTTATAGGCTTGGCAGTGCTACACTGGCTAGCACTATGGACGAAAAGGACTTGGGGGTCATGATTGACCACAAGATGAACATGAGCCTTCAATGTGATGCTGCAGCTAGTAAAGTGAGCAAAACGCTGGCTTGCATCCATAGATGCTTCTCGAGCAAATCCCGGGACGTCATTCTCCCGTTGTAGTCGGCCCTGGTGAGGCTGTAACGAGTACTGCGTCCATTTTTTGGGCTCATAATTCAAAAAGGATATGGAGAAGCTTGAGAGAGTCCAGAGGAAAGCCATGCGCATGATCAAAGGTCAGGAAAACAGACCTTATGATGAGAGGCTGAGAGCCATGGTACTCTTCAGCCTGGAAAACCGCAGGCTCAGGGGTGATCTGATGGCCGCCTATAAGGTTATCAGGGGTGCTCACCAGGATCTGGGGGCATGTCCGTTCACCAGAGCACCCCAGGGGATGACAAGGTTGAACAGTCACAAACTCCTTCATGACCGTTTCAGGCTGGACATAAGGAAAAACTTCTTTACTGTCCATGCCCCCAAGGTCTGGAATGGCCTGCTGACGGAGGTGGTTCAAGCACCTACTTTGAATGCCTTCAAAAGAAAATTGGATGCTTATCTTGCTGGGATCCTATGACCCCTGCTGACTTTCTGCCCCTGGGGCAGAGGGCTGGACTCGATGATCCTCCGGTGTCCCTTCCAGCCCTAATGTCTATGAAAATCTATGAAACGTTAAACATTTATCTTGAAGCCTTTTCTTTTAACTAAGGAGTAGTGGTTCTGGAGACAAATAGATATAGATTATTTGATTCCTACTTTATTAGCGTGTTAAGAAACTGATAATATAGTAAGTTAATAAACAAAGAAACTGGTCTTATTTGTAGCCAGTTTTCCACAGTATATGTTAAGATTTTTGCCATCTATATCTACTGGAAAACAGTGTTGTGAACAATTCTGTTTCTTGTGTACAGAGAGGCATTATTGAGAGTTAAACTCCAGGCAGGAACACACAAAAATGCCTTTTAATTTAGCTAATCCATTTGAAAAGTTCTTATACTCTGCTATTGTTAATTGATTTAGGACTGTTCATTTGTTTGCCCTATTGGGGAGTAATGCTGTCAATCTACAAAGAAGCCCAAAAAACAAAAACCAAAACATTATGTAAGTTTTCTCCTCAAAACTGTTAAGCTATTGGGTTCACAGAAATAGAATGGCTTCATAGATATGATTGGTAATATGTACAGGGTGCTTGAACTCTTTTCCACCAAACTCAGAATAGCAGGTTTTCATCAATGTCTTCTGCAAAATAGACAAAAAAGGAAAAAAAAGGTTACTATAATCACTGAACATTTAGTATTCAAGAAAAATGATTATATCGTGATGGGTTTATCTTTAGTAAGTCATAAATTTTCTTCTAACATTTCAAATGTTGATTTATTATCCATATCTAAAAATAGAAACAGGTGCTTTTATCAAACACTGCCCATTTTAAATCCTTTCTAATAATTGCTTTTTCATTATGTAATGTTTTCCTGACATGTTTGTAATCTTTAAAATCACTGATGCCCTTAAATCAACTCTGGACAAACAGAACCATTAGTAACACCACATGCCAAACACTGTCACCCATTTAATAGCTTAATCCATGCCCTGTTGTTCAGAACTGTGGCTGATAGTTTATGTCATCAGAAGAGCTGCTAAAATTCTAGGCTCAGAAAGGCTTTGTAAGTGTGTAAGTACTCCTTGGTCACAGCCAACTCCCACTTAAGACCAGGAGTTGTTAAAAGGGTCATGAACAAATATATTCAATGTTAGGGATTTTTTCTCTCTAAAAGAAGCCCCACAGTTGTTTAGTGAGTGAAAAAATAACTTGCATCTTTGCTTCTCTTGCTTAACTTGTTATGGCGTTCTGTCATAATTCAGGGCTAGCTTCTAAAAATGACTTAGATGCCCAAAGTGGAGCTTAGTCAGAATTTAGGCACTTAAGTCCAAAATTGCAGTCCTGAAAACCCCTAAGCCTGGAGTCACTTACACTCCATAGGTTTCTATATTTTTACTTTAACATTTCCCAGGTGCATAAAATTGCACTCCTAGATATGCCTTGGTTTTGACCAGGCTGAACCAATCAGCACCTTGTTCAATCAGAGTCTGAGTCTTTACTTCCTTGAGGAACCCATCTGCTCAGAGCATGTCTATGTCTGACAAGATTGGGCTCCACAGAAAAAAAACAGAAGTTGCTGCCACTGTGGCATGGTTGTGATGTTATTGCCACCCACATTAGAGTATATTGCAAGAAGCTGGAGACTCAAGTTCAGTTCTCTCTTCAACCCAATGGGGTTCAAGCCTATACCTCCCACAAAAATGCTCTATCAGCCTGTTGGCTATTCTGGATGAGAGCACTTTA